ATCAAAGACGCACACAAGAGGCGATTACTTATGATTTGTTGGCATAATGCCCGTGGAGCCCCAGTCAGAGAAGTTTCAGAGCGTGAGTTGATCGTTGTAGGTACGAGGCCAGGGTGTTGGGGGGGTCCATTTCTGGGGCTGCCGAGTGTGGAATAGTCGGCTCTGGGGATCGCGTGGGAGTGGACGGCTGGTAACCCAGTCGAGCGAGGTGTGCCCTACAACGCAACGGACAGCATCAATCCATCCACATAAACGATAAACTCGACTATGCGACAAGAAGGGTGCAAAATGCCGAGGTGACAGAGCTCTGACATTTTCTCCATATTTTCTTTTTTATTTCTTCCCCTCGGTGGTTCAGAAGAACATATTCTCGTGGTTACGACATATTCACACGTGTTTCAGGGAATAACGGTGGATTTTTATGGGGGGGGTACGTCAAAACGAAAAATTCATCATAATTTTTTTTTTAATAACTGCAATAAAATGCAATAAAATGGTCTCTATTGCGTTAGTTCCCGAGGTAATGAAGAGGGATTTTTTTTATGTATGGAGGAAACAACTGGGGCAAAATGGGTCGTGATATTGCGCTTTCCAGATAATTTTTCCTTATTTTTTAATTGAAAATGCTTTAAATTATGTTCCGATAAATTTCGATTTTCCTTTTTTTCGTTTTTTCAAATAAACGAAAAATCGCTTTGTGCAAAAATAAAAATGAGGGGAATAAAAATATTTTTGGTGGAAAGTCAGGGAAATTGCCGACGAAATACGCAATATGACGATTTTATTTTCATTCTCACGCAGTAATTCGCGTGATAATGAAACGGGAATTTTCGCAATTAAAAAATTTGGCGTTTTGTATCTCGGAAAGTAGTGGGGCAAAATAGGTCGTCATATTGTGTTTTCCATCTGCTTTTTCCTTGCGTATTAATTGAAATATCTTTAAAATCTCCAATAAATTTTAGTTCGCCATGCATTCAACTACTGAAAAATAAGTGCGTGAAATTCTCGGAGATAATTCAGCACGTGCACTAAAATAACTCAACATAATGTTCCCCCAATCCACCAAACACCTCTATTACCCGACGATTAGCCCCGACACGTGTCACCCGATGGTGAGACCCCGGACAAGTGCATGCACTGACCCACCCCCACCCCGAAATTTCCATAAACACGTATCAACCGTATATGATAAAATGTCGAGACCAGGGGGAGTAAACATGTGACTGGAAAACAGTGCGGAATGAGTGGCAATAGGTGAAACGTATCCAAACCCCAGTGAACTGGAGGGATTAGCCTTGGAGATCGGTGACTGCTGAAATGTTCACAGATCGGTTTACCGTTTAGCAGGATAGAGGGAGTGTGATCCCGTTGGCCCCGGCGTTTTCACCCCCCACCCCCGTCCGTTGGGCGATGCGAGGGTGCGGGAGGCTGACTGTTTGCGTGTGGGAACTAGCATTGTGGCCCACACGTGCCATCAACTGGTTTACAAACACGAGAGTGATGAAGATGGAGAATAAAAGATGGAAAGGGCGCACAGGGCGCGGTCCATTCCAGCGCATGCGGACGTAATCCTGCGCTCGTCATTTCCTCTATTTTTTTGTTTAGTTTTCAGCTGGACTTTTTATCGAGGATTTTAGAGTGTTAAATGGCTTTTAATGCAGTGAGAGAAAAAATTTGTTGTGCTGAAAAATTATATGCTTCCATGAAGAGATCTTTGTCGCGTTGAATCAATTTATTTGTGGGGAAAAAAGAAAGTTTCCGTCAGAACAAGATAATTCTCGTTGTAGTAATTGCTCTCGTGAGACGTTTATATGTCTTTCGAATGAATATATGGGAATTGAGCATAAAATATACTTGAATCAAATACAAAAATTGTACAATAATACTGAATTGCATGAATTTTTTTTTTATTGAAAAGTTTTTCACTTATTTCAACAATATTTTTGTTGCATATTAATAAATTCATATATTTATGTCAGTGGATAGTTTTTAATTTTATGGAATGAATGAAAGAGTAAATAAATTCTCTATTCGAATTGAGTAAACAATTTATTTGATACAACATTATTAAATATTAATAAATTCATTATTGTCTTCGTCTGAACAATTATTTAATTTTTAATTACCGAACACTGTTATTTACTGAATTACTGAAAAACTGTTTATTTGATTCAAACAAAGTTTATTTAATATAAATTAATGATTCCTCTAGATGTCCAATTCGTTTTATAAAATTATTATTTATATTTTTCACCAAATGAATGTTATTTTCAAAAAAAAACTTGGGTCTCAAAGTGAGTGCAATTTCCAATTGTTGTTGGGTTTCAAACACAAATTGAAGACTGTGAGATCTTCGAGGGGTTGTATTTAAGTTCTAGATGTCTTGGACCTTCGGGTGATGGGTAAGCTTCAGGGTGAGAGAAGTTTCCTAGCTTTGACCGTTGAACCCTTCTCTCATGTTAGTTTGATGTTCCGAAACTCGTCTAATCCCGTAAACGTTCCCCAGAGGCCAAACAAAAAGAAATATTTCACTCGAGCTCAGGGAAATCGAGAAATAATTGAAAAATTCTTCCCCCAGTGCAAACATTTACCGAGAAAACATAATTCCGGTTATTTTCCATCGAATTGACTAATTCTCGGCGCTAGCAAAACACAAAAAATATCCTCATGTTTTTACTAATCACGCCTGTGGAGAACGGCCACTGTGGTTCGATAAAAAAATAACAACCCCGGGGATTCTCCCAACCTACCCCACATACGCTGCATCTGTGTTTACGTTTCCCGGTATCGTGAATATTTTTATAAGTCGTATTTGTCCGGGCCGTATCGATACTGATGATATTCAAACATTAGGGGGACGAGACATGCCTCGAGCACGGCAATTTAATTTTTTTTCACTGTGAAAACTAGTGTCCGGACGTCTTAGGGTAATTTCCGAGACAGTAATGCCCACAAGCTCAAGAAAAAATGATTCTAAATGACTTAATTCACTGCGCGGAGAGACATATTCAGTAAAAATTACGGAACAACTCACGTAATCCGCGATGGGGAGTCGTTTTCCGGAAATTTTTATAGGAATGGAAGAGAAGATATCTGAAACGTTCAGTGAATTTTCAGGTTCACCACCGAACAAAGTACGAAATTGTCACGTCATTTCTCCCGAAGAAGTAAAATCTTACAGTATCTTCCCGACTTATTGTGCCTCCAAAATAAAAAATTCTTGAACACTCAACAATTTTTATGAAGCTGGTGAGTTATTTCTACGTTCCGTTCCGTAAAATTTCTCAATCGTTGGGGAAAAATTACGGAACGACTTGTTGTCCTCACAGCGGTGAGTCATCAGATGGCTAATTTTTACGGAACAAATCGTAGAATTTACGTGGCGATTCGTGCAATTTCAGTTCCGACTCACACTTTCTATTGAATTTTACTTCGCGCCCGAATTACGTTTCGAACCGTAATTTTTACGTTTCGCATTCTCATAATTGAGGGGTACAAATGTCTCAAAAAAGGGGACGAAGTGTCTTAATTTAATTTCAGACACTAGTTTTCTTTTCTGTTGTGAAAAATAATGAATTTTGTCGACAACTCGAGAAGTTGAAACGGAAAACGAGTGTTTCCAACCGGAAATTTTCCTGGCTTCCCAACAAATCCCCAATTTTTCATGTCACGTAATGAAAAATCCAAAAACAAAAATAACTGAAACTGAAAAACTGGAAATAAAGCTTCCCGCGGCAATGCGGTCAAGCAGTATGGGTTTTCGGGTGCTGGAGGGATGAATTGGATACAGTTCCAACGCCAGTGTGCGAACGTGGGAACCAGCCGGGTGGTATCCGCTCAGCCTCATTAATGATGATGTGCCTACCACCCAGTGGCAGAATCCCGAGTGAAGTGGAATGGGAGAGAGAGAGAGGGAGGGAGAGGAGGGAGTGAACCCCGCAAAAGCCTGGCCAACACGTCCCCTGACACACCCTCACTATCCGCCACCTCCGAGGTGTATATACCCTCAGACTTCTCCTCAACAACAATTTTACTCCCCACTCCCTCCTCGGTCCAGCTGCACTTGACATTTCATCTCTTGTCATCAATTTTTCCGGGTTCAAAACACCAGTTTTCCTCTCCAATATCGTGAAATTCTCGTTTTATACGGCGGACGAAATTTTTTTCCTCGGCGAATTTTTCCAATTTTTTTTTGAAGGAAATTCAATTAGCGTTTTCTTTTTTTTATCTTTGAAGGGAAAAATGAAAAAGTTAATGAGAAAAATCGTCTTTTTTTAATTCGGGATTGTTTAATCAATTTGTTGTTTACCGATATTGATATGAAAATTTTAAAATTAATGTAATGTAATTCTTAATCAGATCAGTTGAGTTCACACTAAATGCGATTTAGGGGAAAAAATCATGAAATGGCAGGTCTCACTGAAAATTCAGTAAAATTCCAGAATTTTAAGCACCACAAAGACGAGAATTCCTTGATTTATTTGAATTTCCTATCTAATATGAATATTCAGTGCCAAATTACATTGAATTTTCGGATTCAGTGTCACTGTCCTGAAAATTCAAGAAGATATTTACCGGAATTTTCTGGTTTTCTATTCATTTTCCGGGAAAAATTGAACTAAAATCAACAATTCTTATCGATTTTTCCGGGAAAATAATCCGAGAACCCATTCAACGCTTCTCCACGGAGAGAAATGTTCAGTAAAAATTACGGAACTCACAATTCCCTCGCCGATTACGGAATCGACTCAAAAAATTTAGGCGACGGTATCGTAATTTTCCACAGGAGATTCAGATAAAAATTACGGAACGCCCTGGAAAAATTCCGCGACAGTTCCGTAAACTTTCTTACATCCACATTTTGGTCCGGAATTACGGAAAGGATACGTCATTTTAATTGAATATTTCTCTCCGTGAATTCTTCAATCGTTATTATTAAAATATTTACGTCAACTCGCAAGAAACACAATTAATTGCGTGGCCCGTTAATTAATGTTTAGCAGTACAACACGAACGTGGTCCAAGGAAACCAAAGCCCCACCCAGACAAGCACCACGGCTCCCAGCAGTCCTTAGTGACAACCCTCTCCTCCCACCCGGGATCACCGGTGCGCCATGAGCCCAGAGTTGACATCAACCCTCACCTGTTCCCACATCACAGCCCAGTGGTGAATCCCCTGTCGCCTCTGTCAACACCCCCAGGCCACCACGATCGCACCAGAAGAGACAGAACCGCCTCGCACTTGCTCTCCATTCACAGGTGTGTTTTTTACCCAAATCCCGAAATTTCGGGATTTAATTGATCAGTTAATTGAGTGTCTCGAGTCCCTGGGGCTTGGGGGGTGTTTGAGGAGCCGTCAAATGAGTGAGGAATTACTTTCAGGAGATTGAGGTACGTGCCGTACCCCCAACCGCCGTCATTAATGCAAAAACCACCGGATGACGGGACTTCTCCCGTGTCGTTTCCCCTTCAACTACCACCGCCCAATCCGGGACTTTATCATTCGGCATCTGTTGCACTTGGACAACAACCACCCCTTCTACAGATCCTCATGTCGGCGGAAAAGTGTCAAGTAAGACCAGAAAACAATTTTGAGATTTTATTTTTTCATTATTTTTTATTTTGTTTTTTTACAGATTTTTTTTATGATTTGAATGTTTTATTCGGAGTTGATAAATTTTTAATTGTGGAATGCGTTCGTTTTGGGACGGAGAATAACATGAAACCGAGGATATTTCGTTTTTGAAGGAAGAATATTTTATTAACAAATGAAATTTAGTGTTTTTTGTTAGAAAAATTCTCGGAGGAAATTTTTTGGATGTTTTATTCGGAATTAATTCATTTTGATTGGTAGAGTGGATTATTCTAAATGTGAAAAATGATATCAAATAGAGAATATTTCACCCTTGAACGAAGAATACTTGGTTAAAGTAGCTCTACCCTTCGGCCGGGTTACGCCGCGCTTTTGGATATTTTCGGTTTTTGAATTTTTCAATTAAATTGCATGGGAAAAATTTGAAAATATTCATACGTAGTTACTGTCACCTAAATATTTATATTTTTTCAAATATTTCCTGCTTATAAACAAATAATAGACCTTGTTTGCAAAATGGTGGATCATTTTTTATGAAGTTCCTTTTGAGACGAAAAATTTAGATTTGATTGCAATGGAAATGTTAATTTTCGCATAAAACACTGGGTTAAACCCTGCTTTTTGAATATCTCTTCTTTGAAAACCCAAAACGATAATTAAATTGAGAAAAAAATTAGTTTTTTACAGTTTTCAGTAATCTGTGAATTCCAGAATTTTGTATTTTATTTTCCTTTCTGTTGTTTTACTACTATAAAAGGAAATTTTATGGAGCACTCGATTGCAGCCCGACGGCGAGGGTTCCCTGGACCAGACGGAGACTGAGGCGAGTGCCAGTCCGACGGGAACACTACAGAATTTCAGTCCTACCTGGGAAATGCTACAAGTAATTTCCACATTCACTCGAATAAATTCTCGAACTAATCCTGACCGTTTTTTATTCCCAATTGCGATAATTTTTTCCTCGTCGTTATATCATCATTTTAAATTGCACATTGTATATTCAGGAAACAACAGCTAGACTTTTATTCATGGCAGTGCGATGGGTGCGTTGCCTAGCCCCGTTTCAAACTCTATACAAAGAAGACAGACTCGTCCTCCTCCAGCAGACGTGGACGCAGTTGTTTCTGCTGCACTTGGCTCAGTGGTCGGTCTCCTGGGACATTACGGGGCTCCTCGATGATGAGCAGGTGCGACGCAGGCTACCCCCCGACGAAGCTTCACTCCAGGAACTTCACACGATTCAAGTGAGAATAAAAAATTCAATTTCCTGCTGTAAAAAAAAAATTACAAGACAGAGGGATTTTTTTTCTTCTCTTCAAGGAAATAATGTGCAGATTTCGACAACTTTCGCCTGATGGGGGAGAGTGCGGGTGCATGAAGGCTGTAGTACTCTTCAGGCCAGGTAGATTCATTAAAAAAATATAATAAACATCAATAAACAATTTTTTACTTCGAATAAAATTAAATGGAAAAATACTGAAGGATTCATTTATTATTATTTTACACAGGTATTTTTACGCATTTCATTTTATGCATTTTCTCATCATTTAATTATTTATTGACGCATAAATAGCGAAGAGGTAAAACGGGTCAAGTAAATTTTGATGTTTAGCCGGTTTTCAATGAATATCTCGAAATCTAGGGGAGATACCAAATTTTTTATCACGACCTTTTTTGTAGAGCGAATTGAGGGCTACGAAAAAGTTCTTTACGAAAATTTTGTTATCTCCCGTAGATTCGGAGATATTTCCCTAGGAAAGAGGTTGAACCGTTTCGGTACTGAAATGAATTGAGATGATGATGAAAAAAATCTTTTTTCTCTTGAAATTACAGAGACAAAGGGTCTAACCGACCCTAAACCCGTCGAAATGCTGCAAGACCAAGCCCAGTGTATTCTCGGGGATTACATAAGATCCCGTTATCCCCGTCAGCCCGAGAGATTCGGCCGTTTCCTCCTATCATTACCAATGTTGCACGCCGTAAAGCCCACAACAGTGGAGCTTCTGTTTTTCCGTGAAACAATCGGTGACATTCCCATAGCGCGATTACTCGGTGACATGTATAAGATGGAGCACCACTCAACAGACGGTGAATAGACAATTATTTTTCAATTTTTTTTCTATTCATTCCTCAATTGAATTCAATCGAAAGTCAAATGGATGGAATATTTTTCACAGATTTCAAGGGGGACATTGGATTCGGCATGATCAATCATCCGAAAGATGCTGATCTGAAAAAATGAGATTAAACAGACAGACAAATATTTTAATCCAATTTTACCGCGATTTTTGGGATTGAATGAGATAATCAAAGACGAGAGTTGAGAGAGTAATTGAATTAATCAGCATTAAGATTTTTTTCTCCGGAAATCTACAATTCACACGTTAAATTATAATAGTGAATTCATAGTGTCATAATGCCCAGCATATCAATAATTACACTGAGGGAAAAAAATTGAGAATAAGGAGGTGATAATCTGCATTCTGCGTAAAATATTTATTTCGAAGTTCCAAGGCTGCTATCACGTCGTGATTGCTGCACTCTATTTAAAAATTCATTTTTTGGATCTGAGTATTGGATAGTCGAAACGAGAAAAAAATAGCAAAAATGTAAAATAAGTATTTGGCCCTTTTTTGCATCAAACAAATCATCAAGTGATTATTTTCCCATCAGTGTAAACCCTCATATCCCTGTAAAGTAGCAAAAATTAAATATCGCTGTAAATGAAAATTGAATGTATAAATGTCTCAATCACTACTTATTACCCCTAAGTGAACTATAAATACTGATAACTGCACATAAACCCCTGTAATTAAAACCAAAAACTATGGGATCTTGACTTGAGGCGTCTGTGATAATTTTCCCTGTTTTCCCTATTACTTCTCATTTCACGAGTAGTTTACTTTGTGCACAGAATTCGGTGTTGAAAATTTTCAAATAATTAATGTTAAAACATTATTACGAAAATTGTAGATTAAATTGATTCTCTGTATAGTTAAAAACTGTTAGAATAAATGTCTAAGTGGTACTACTTAATACAATTGTTTATCTATAGTTAATCTTTCGCATAATGGAAAAATAAAAAATTCTGGAAATGTAGTTGACGAGTAATTAATCACCAAATTCATCATTTTGAATTGATTTATTTTCTTTTATTCATTTTATGTTCAATTTTGCATTCAAGGACATTATTTTGTCCATCCATTTTTTTGGTTTAATTGAATTAAAAATAAATTCTATCGAGATATAATTAATAATAATTAATCACCAAATTCATGATTTCGTATCGATTTATTTTCTTTAATTACATGTGAAACTGATGATATTCTCATTGAGAGACAGTACAAAATGTAGAATATTTACGGATATTCGTGTATATTCGAAGATTCAATTGCTTCATAGTAACATTCAACCTGTATTTTATGTTTATAATATTTCTCGTTACAAAATTCATGGGTTTACCATCTACTGGGGAATGAATACTCGTATTTGTGATAATTACGACTAGAATCATAATCACGTTATCTAGTAGAACTCAAAAAAGTCGAGGAATCAAGACCGGAAAAATAAACAATAATAACGAGATATTTATTCATCAATTGTGCAGACGGTTTAGTCGCCGTTCCCGTTGCGTTTGTGACCTTGAAGACTCTCGAGAATCCGGAAGCACAGTTCTCTGGAGATTATGATTCATTCTGACGCGAAAACAAACTTTAAAACATGAAGACTGCTTAACTAATTAAGTGGAACTGAGAAATCATCTTTCTCTCGATTTGTTTTATTACACCGGGTGTGGTCGAGGGGTAATGGATCCATTACTTCATAAAAATTCTAGAAAACAACGCAGTGAGAATTATCAAATCGAAATTATTAAATTTCATAGCTAGATTGAGATCAGTTTGGAAAACGTCTCATCTTATTCAGCAGAAATTCTTCTCTTCCCTTAAAATTCAGAGATAAATAAACTCAATCTTTCTCTAGTCTCAAATTAAAAGAATTCAATCCAAAATTACGAACAACTCTTCGTAAATATCTAAAATTAAAAAACGTCGAAATTGAAAATTTCACTGTTTTCAGTAAAAATTCCTCTGTTCCTTGGAATTAATCGACAAATCCCACTAATCCAGGATTAGAAATCCTGGGGGCCTGAATAACAGTTCCCCTCCGGAATTACAGCTCGTCGTGAGCCCTCAGGTGCTTATCAACGAACTCATAAAGATCATCAAGAGTCCTGGACCCACTGTATTCAGAGATCTTCTCTCCGTCCTTGTACAAGAAGAGTGTGGGGAAGCCGTCGACCTCCTGCTCGTCACAGAGCTTTTTGCTGGTGTCCAAAGTGCAGTCGACTTTGACAATGCGAACGTCCCCTCGTCCAATGAATTTCTTCCCCAGGTTCTCCCACGTGGGGGCGAGACGTTTGCAGTGGCCACACCAGGGAGCGAAGAACTTGATGAAGGTGACGCCCTTCTCGATGCCGTGCTTGAAGGACTCCCCAGTGAGAGTGAAGACAGATTGCACTGAGTCTTCAGCCTGTTCTTCACTGTCGTCGGATACAACAGACCTCTTCTTCAACATCTTGTTGACGTACTCCTGCAGCTGCTCTTCGCTCCTCTCCCCAGAGTATTTGTCGACTTTCTTTCCATCCTCGATCCATAGGAGGGTGGGGTACCTGTCGCAATGGAAAGACTTCAATTCTTTATAAAATTCAGTTATTCATTGTTATTCTTCGTTGGATCGTATTTTGTTTCTATGTTACTGGGTAATTTTGTTACGTAAAAATTGTCAAGACACGAAAAAAAGTGAGTAGTTATGAAGAATAACAGAAAAATCATTTTATGTTCAAGTGTTAACAGGAAATCCATCAAAAAAATTATTAGTGAATAATGTATTAATAAAATTAGTTGGTGTTTATAATCAAAAGATGATGAATTAACAGAAGAATAATAAAAGTGACGAGAATGTTCAAATATTTTACATAAAAAATATGGACGAAACATTCAACATTTTAAACTCGTTATAATTTTAGAAATTCTGTACCCCTTGATATCGAACTGCTCGCAGACTGATCGGTGCTGAGTGCAGTCCACCTTGGAGATGCTGACGAGGTCGTCGTGACTGTTGGATTGGGCTAACTTGTCCCACGTGAAGGCCAGCTTCTGGCAGTGGCCACACCAGGGGGCGTAGAATTTGACAAAGTGACTGCCTGATGACACGTGCTTGTTGAAGGTTTCTCCTGTGAGCTCCACTAGACCGTTCACTGGCTCAGGCACTGGCGGCTTGTCCTCTGACTCGTTCTGGGGATGAGGAAGAGAAAAAATGAGAAAAATGTAAAATAATGAAGATGTCAATTTCAAGGATTCTTCGTAAACTTGAAAATAACAGCGGAATTGGTAAAATCGTATCACTAGTTCAGGAATTAATTAGTTAATTATCTTTTAAACTTTTGAAGAGTTTGTTTTGTTCTGTCTTTGATCAATAAGTCGATTGCATCAATGAATTGTAATTAATTGTTTGTTCATGTTCACTTTTTATTTTTCACGTTTTCCTATTCATCAATAAAATAGTATTTTCCTGGAAAATCTTGGATTAGTTAAAAATACTTACTGTCGGCACACTTCCTAATTGTTCATTAATGAAGGCACTGAGTGATGGCAAGTCCCTAGTTCCCCTGAATCTTGTCCCAGTGCTTTCCCCAGTTTTGAAGAACTTCAAACTGTAAAATAAAATTCAAATAAAATGTAAGAATGCAAGAATTTCATTGAAAAACCCTTGGATTAAATTTCTCAATTGCCAAAATTGAATAAAACATGGAAATAAAATTTTGCATTATTCTTTCATCTTTCAGAATGAAATTTAGAAGATTTTCCTACGTTGGATATCCAGTTACATCGTGTTCACTGCAAATTGAGCTGTCTGTTGTGCAGTCGACCTTGGCAATGCGAACTCTACTGTCTTCCTCTTCGTTCAGCATTTCAGCGAGCATTTCCCAGGTGGGGCCGAGTCTACGGCAGTGCTCGCACCTGGAAAATAATGAGAATAGTGCAGGGAAAAACACGTTAAATCACATCAGGAAATTCTATTTCTAGTTCTTATCGGTTATGAATCTTTCAACGTGTTGATAACACTCTGCAAATATACCAGGTACTCACCAGGGTGCATAGAACATGATAAAGTGATTTTTCTTGGGTAATTCGGTGGAGAAATTCTCCTCGGTGTACTGCACTGTGTGCACGTCATCCTCGTGGGCTGTGGTGATAGCACAGTGATGGCAGTACATGAGTGCTGCAGCCAGCAGAATCAATGTTTTTCGAAACATGATTGATTTATTCTCGAATTCTATTGCAAGGAGGGGATTCAATTAATAATAAATGGAATTTTATGAAAATATTTTATGCATTTGTTTTGTGACAAAAGAGATGAGCAAGTATGTTTGGAAGGAATACAAGAATTTTTTGTTGAATTCTACTTTTGAAAACTGAAAAATACAACTATTGTAAATTACTATTGATTTACAAGGAATTGGAGTACTTCTATTTCATTTTTTGTGAACAAAGAAATAACACACGAATTTTATTCTCCAAACTGGAACAATTTATTTTGGAACGCAATTGAAAAATGATTAACAAATTTTCGAAGCTAAATTATAAAAAAATGATTTTAGAACAGTCTTGTGCATTTCTTAATTAAAATTTCGAACTAGAAAACGATTTTATACATTTTTAATGGACAGAGCAACACTTGGGATTCTTTCAAGACCCCCCACGTCAACAGAATCGTGAATTGAATTAATAATAGAAATTATAAGAAATCAAAGCGATAATCTCAGTGGAATAAACACCAAAAACACGAATAAAACATGAAAACGATCGAACAATCACTGAAATTTCCACTGATCTCTGGGTTTGCAATGAAAATGATTCACTCTCGATCAAAAACTCCAAATCATGATAATGTGTACACCGGTTAGGGTTAACAATAGATGCTCCCCTTGGGGAAAAAAGAATCTAATAAAATTCAATCGTAATTACCTTCTGGAAAAGATAGCGAGTGTTCGACGCTATCGAACAGACTGAGAATCTACGATCTACGACTTTGAATTTTGATTACTAGTTTTTGTGGATTTTTGTTGGTTTATCGTCGAGCTAGATACACCGAGTCCGCCCCCATATACACTCAAGGCGGATTTTCAGTGAAGGAAAATGACAGAGCAAGCGGTAAAACATAAATTTTCGTAATCATTTAAATTCCGAACAATTTTTCAATCCCTTAAAAATTATTTGAAAAATATAAAAATATCTCTTTCCTTTCAAAATTAATTTTTAATGACAACCAAGTCATTTTATTAGCAAATTATAATAATCTAATAATATAGTAATTTTTTAGAATTAAAAAATTTTCGATTAATATTTAATGTTTAATGTTTATTTATTAATTAATTAATATTTAGCTCAATGAAAAATTGATTTTTATTCATCATCAAGCTGTTTGTTTATTCATAAACAAATTAAAACTATTCAATTTCAAATATTTAATATATTTCGTATTCCCATAAAAAATAAAATGAAAAATAATATAAAAACTTTTATATTCTGTCAAAATTAATTTTTATTAATCGATTTTCTACACTGATATGCATTAAACTAGCCAATTGATGAGTAAATTAGAATAATTTAATACTCTGGTGTAACTTAAAAATAGTCCCCCCCCCCGATTTTCATAATCACGAGGAAATACGAGAACGCAGATACGACAGAATCTCCTCGGTTCCCTTCTCCAGAATGGCATGTCGAGGCTGTTTGAAGCAGTTTCCCGACAGCATCAGTGTCCTGAACAAATAAATTACCCCATAAACCCACAAAACCAACTGATCAACAAATGATAATAAAATATTGTTACGAACATACACATGACAACAGTTTGGACATCGATCTGACGATGAAAACATGAGCAGGATGATAATCATGAAGATATCATGCAATTTAATGCTTGAGGGGGCATTACAAGCTATGAACGAAAAAAAAAACACGATTAAACAATTAAAAAATCCATCATTGTAAAAAATAAAACCCTAAAAATGTGAAATAAAAACACGGATATTAGGTAAAAACAAGAATAATTGGAATTCGTAAAAAATGAGTAATGAATGTTCTGAAGTATTGAGGATCGCTATGCAATTACCTGTAACATCAAGCATCCTAAATGATTATTTAAATAAATATTGAGACAATCATGCAGAGTGATCATTAGCACCAACAAGCCATCGATCGTATTTGTCACCTAATGTTCCTCATGTTCCCCAGTTCAGGTGGCACATGTGCAATGTCGTTGTTCGACAGATCTAGGGTCGCGAGACGTCGCAATTTTTCCAGACACGTAACGTCAATCTCTGTTATGTGGTTGTCGTTTATAATTAGTATCTCCAGGTTTTCAATGTTGCAGATTGATTCAGGAATTGTTGTAAACCTTTAGTAAAATCGTAAAACCATAAAATCGTTATTCCATGAGTTTTAAATTGAAATAGAATAAATGATCGAATAATGATGAATGAATAGTAAAATGAATAATGTCTGTGAAATTAGAATGAAATGAATGAATAATGAAATAATTAAAAAGAATTTCTATCAAATATTTTTAAGGGGATTTCACCTGTTGAACGAGATGTTGATCTCCCTCAATCGTTCCAGCCTCCCCATGCTCTCTGGCAATGATGATAATTGATTCTGACTGAGATCGATATATCTCAGATGCTTGAAAGGTTCCCCGAACCACTCGGGTAATGATGCCAATTGATTGCAGGAGATTTTCATGTCCTCGACAGAAGTTATCGTCGACAGTTTCTCAGGTACTTGGGGTAGTTTATTTTTGCTGAGGTCTACGCAGGTCACTCCGGCTGTTTTGGCGTCCTCAAGGACCTCGTCAGGTACTTCGTGGAGGTGTTGAGCTGTCAGACTCAACAGTTTTGTATTTTTCATCGTGTATCTGCCCCAGGAATTTCGAAAATCAAATGAAAAAAATTTAATCAATTGAGAAAATCAAGGAAAAAAATTGAGAATAGTAGAAATGAATGGAAATATTTATTACGCACTTGTCAGGTGCTAGTACAGCTCCTGGTGACGCCGACGACTGCACATCGAGACTCTCAGAGTCAAAACCTTGACGAAGATGTTTCAAAATTCTTGGAGTTCCACATTGGACGATGTCTCTCCTCACGTTTTTAATTTTTTCATTTCCATTTATTATGAAGTGCTTGAGGTTCGGCATTATGCAGATAAAATTGGGAATTCTGTGAATTGAATTGGAGAATGTCATTCAGAGATGTTTCGAGAGAGGAAATAGGGTACATACAGTGTTAGTTTGTTGGAGGACAGATCGAGTCGCTCCATATTCAGAAGTTTTATGATGTCATCGGGTATGACTTCGATATTATTGTGGGCCAGTAGGAGAGACCTCAATTGGCCCATGTCCTCCAAGCACTCCATGTCAATTTCCTGGGGATTAATCGGTAATTCGTCATGCGTTTAATCTACTCATGCCAAATTGGGCGGAGATTTATTGGGGATACGTACGTCTATGGAGTTGTTAGATAGATTGAGTTCCCTCAAGGCGGTGCATCCGGTTATGTTGGGAAAATTTTTGAGATTGTTGGTGTGGAGAATGAGGGACTCGAGTTTTCTCATCTCACCCAGGGGAGGGACCAGCTCTAGGTGGTTTGAGCTTGCATCCAGTTTTTTTAGGACTGGGGGAGAGACAGATCGGATAGAATTCTGTATTCATTCATGCATTTTCAGTCGAAAAATATTTGATTTGATGCAGTTATTTTACTATTTTTGGTATTCTTGTTCCAATTGAAGTTTTGGATTTTATGGAAAAAGTCAGAAAATGGATTTTTTTTTTCAAATGTAATCTAATGGATTTTTTAAAAATTTACCTGAAAGTAAATGTCACACGCATAAAAATAGTTTGTTTGATTGAATAAACTTCATTCGAACCAAATAAAATTTATTCCATTCAAATAACCCATTTATAACCCATTCATTCAATGTCAATTAATGGAAAAATTATTTTGGAAATAGACAGACCTCTCATGCTCATTATGTCTGGTGGCAACTCCACGAGTAGATTATGACTTACATCGAACGTACACAAACGCACGAGGTACCCCAGACCCACGGGCAAGGTTGTTAGATTATTGAACGATAGGTTCTAGGACAGAATGCAGATACGAGAGTTTATTTTTGCTGCAGTGAAAAATAATCTAGTACTCTGGTCATACCAGTGACTCCAACATCACTAAATCCCCAATTGCCGGATCAAGGTCAGCCAGATTGTTATGCGAGAGATCCAGTTGCTTCAGATTTTCCAGGGTGAAGAATCTCTTGTGAATCTTCACTAAATTGTTGTGAGAAATGTTAAATTTTCGGAGCTTCGTCAGGGCTCCGATTGCCTTCGGCACTTCCTCCAGGAGATTATCATGGAACTGCGAGGAAAAATGGAATTTCAGGTTGAAGTTGGAGATTTTTTTCGGTAAAAATGAGGGGAATTTCGATGAATTCGTGGTTGATGATTAAAGTTTTTTGCTTACGTCCAAGTCTTCAAGTTCTGATAAATACTCGATCTCGGAATCGATAGTTTTGATACTGTTTCCATTCAGATTGAGTTTTTTTAGGGCCTCCTGCTCCCACCAACGCTCCTTGTCATCATCGAAATCGAGATTTCTTCCCAACTCCTCGACTTCTACTTTCGAGAGCTGATTTATCGTCCATATCCTTTGGGGAACTGCAAATTTAAATCACAAATGAACGGTTTTCAATCTATTCTAGCCAGAGTTAAATTAATTCCACAAGAATATGGATTTTGAATCATCTCTCGAAATTCATGAAATACTAAAATTCCTACAAAATCGAATAATTTTTTCCAATCTAGAGACATTAAGAATCATTAAGAAGTCATTAAATTCATTCAAAAATTATTGTTATGTCATTATTATCGAAATTCAAGAGATACAGAAATATTTCCACAGTGAAATTATTTTATTTAAGTCTAGAAATTTTTTAAATAAACATTTTCAGGTGAAATTCACATATTTTCTCTGCAATTTCACATTTCTAAAGAAATTTGGGTAATTTTTAATAGCAGGAGTAGGTTTTTGACAACTGAAAGACCTGAAACCATATTGTCCATAAAAAAATCATGATTTTTATTTTTTCAATAATAAAAATACATAAAAATCCAAGAAATCTTAAATCTTGAGGCATTTAAACTAAAAATCTTTAGGTCGAATTGACATTTTCAAAGAAATTATTGTCTTTTTTAAGATAAAGAATAGCCTTTCGAGATAATTAAAACCATTAATAACATTTTATTGCCAAGGGATAATTATTTTTTTATTTTTGGTAACAATAGCATACCCGTAGCCAGTCCCCTCCCGGCCAAATTAAGTTCCCCGGATCTCCTCGCATCAATAATAATCCTCTCCGACAATTCCTCATCATCATCATTCCTACACCTGGGTTTGAACAATGCCCGATGATTAACCTTCGACTTCCTCCCGACACTCATGTTTCAACAATTGACTGTCAACTGAAACGTATCACAGCAGTCTCGCGTATTATTAACTCGTCGATCAGTGTCGGGCCCAACGAACCGTGCGAACCAATGTCCATGACAATTGTCAATACGTTGAAGAACTCGCGCAATCCCTGAACTTACACGGATGAATAAATAACGCCGAATTGTATTTTTCGATTAGCTACAGCGGAGAGCGAATGTCAATAAAGGGCGCGGAGGGCGATAAGAGAGAATACGGCAGTTCAAATTCGCCTGTCAATTGCCGTCGGTCGAGTTCGGGAGGACTCGGCTCGTAGCCCAATATGGCGACCGGTGAAGTGGGGAATCGGGGACTTCCCGGTTTCTGCTGATTTAACGGGAAAATTGAGAGAGATCAATTATTAATTATGTGGAGAAATATTTATTTTCGAGTGCAGAGTAATTATTCAATGAATTTTTCGGGGGATTAATAGAGCATTTGGGGTTTCTGGCAATTTTCGTCGATAAATTGTTGCCAGTCGGCATGAGTTTTCTCGCGATTAAATGGGGAAATTAAGAGTGAATAATTAATATTTATTTGCAGAAGTGTTTGGTTTCCAGTGGGGAGTAATTATTTAACGGATTTTTCGGGGGATTAATAGAGTATTTGGATTTTCTAGCGATTTTTGTCGATAAGTTGCCCGTGGGACACGTGATTGATCAGTTTCCGCAGTTTCATTAGGTTTTTCCATGATTTACTAGAGAAATTCATAGAATATAATTGATATTTACGCCTAGAATTGTTCATTTTTAATTGATAAATAATTTTTTTTTGGGTTCTGCCATTTTTGACGGTAAATTGCCGCCAGTGGGAATCAATTGGAAATTGCGCGGCGCTCGCCAGCGCATGCGCATCGCTGATCCAATATGGCCGCTCGGTCGTCCGGCAAGTCACGCAACTGAGGCGTTCTCTCAGTTTTCTCGCAATTAAATGGGGAAATTAATAGTAAACAATCAATATTTATATGTGGAAATGTTTGTTTTCCACTCGGGAATAATTATTTAATGGATTTTTCGAGGGATTAATACATTATTTGGATTTTTCGACGTTTTTGTCGATAAGTTGTTGGTCGAAGCCGCCGTGTGCGCATGAGTATCCAAAATGGCTGCTGGGATGTTGCGAGAGGCCTCGAATAAATAAATCTCCTCAGTTTAATCGATTTATGCGGCTTCACTGAGGAAATTAATGAGTGAAACATGGATATTGAGGACTGGAAGTGTTGATTTATCAGTGAGAAGTGAAAATTCGGGAGAATTCGGCGCGAATAAAGTGGATTGGTTGTGATTAGCTGTTGTGAGAGTGTCGGTAAGTCCTCGTCAGTTGATTTTCCAAGTTTTTCGAGGGTTAATTAACAAAATAACCGTTGGGATGTCGCGACGTGCGTTGAACTCGAGGGTATTTCAATTATTGAAGGTTTTTTTAAATGACATTCGGAGTGCAAAGTGAAAAATAGTGTTTCTGAACCTTTATTAATGAATAAAAAATGACATTCAGTGGAATAAACAACGAGAAATTTGTGAATGTGACTTTTAGTGTTGTGTCGTCGATTCCGGAGCATCGAAATGTCATCAGCACCTCCAGAAGCTGATGCAGAAGCAGAGCTGGTGAGTACCTGAATAACAAGAGATATAATTTCAGTAGAAATTTTTTTATGGAATTATTCACATTTTTTCGTTAGAGTCATTAATCTATTTATTTCTGTGCACATGAAAAATCCCTGGGATTTAGTTTTATGTCATATTTTTTTACTCAAAAAATGTCTACTCTCAATATTAATATCCACAGATTTAAAAAATTTATAAATAAAATCAAATGGTTTTTCTAAATGAAAATATTTAAGTAGTCAATTGAAAAACTTTTCATACTGTTAGTTAAAAAATTTATGAATGAGATAATTCTTTTGCTCATGACCTTTAAATGTCATCAACACCTTCAGAATTCTGATGAGTACCTGAATAACGCGAGATATAATTTCAGTATGAAAATTTTTATGGAATTGTTCACATTTTTTCGTTAGAGACATTTACCTATTTATTTCTATACACATGAAAAATCCCTGGGATTTAGTTTTTACGTCCTATTTTCTCACCCAAAAAATGTCAACTGTCAACATCCATGTCCTCCGATTTCTAAAAAAAATGGCACCGATTCAGTGCATCTGCACCTAATAAAAAAGAAATCCATTCATCCATGAAGTAAACGTCACAATTCACAACAGTTTTATGTTGCCCCATTTCTTGTGTCCAGAAATTCTCGCATCATTGTCACACATTGTCCCCTCGACTATCCAGACACGAAGTCCCTTCGATCCCACCCCATACAACTCTGATTTCTTCTCTCGATGGGAAAAAGGGGTAGAAATGGGATGAAAATCGAAACGATTTTTGTGTCACAGGGAATCTGATTAGTGTCAAGCGTGAGGAGAATATTT